TCAGCACCAATCTCTACATCCCTGAATGGTACTACATCAAGCACTGTGGACCACCAATCTCTACATCCAGTGGAATGGTACTACATCAAGCACTGGTGGACCACCAATCTCTACATCCAGTGGAATGGTACTACATCAAGCACTGGTGAACCACCAATCTCTACATCCCGTAGAATGGTACTACATCAAGCACTGGTGAACCACCAATCTCTACATTCCGAAGAATGATACTACATCAAGCACTGGTGAACCACCAATCTCTACATACAGTGGAATGGTACTACATCAAGCACTGGTGAACCACCAATCTCTACATACAGTGGAATGGTACTACATCAAGCACTGATGAACCACCAATCTCTACATCGCGTGGAATGGTACCACATCCCAAGACCGTTTGTATTAGTATGAGCTCGCGAAAGTTATCCAAATTTCCTCATAATGTCTAAAAACGACCAACCTCGCCGTTGCTTGACTGGTTGACATCCCTTGAAGAAGGGATTGAATGGATGGACGAAACGGTCTTCATACCCGTAGAACTTCAATCTCATAAAGCATACATGGGATGCTCTTGAAAGACATTCTTTCAAGTGACCCCAAATACACGAGATTACCTGAAAATTGATCTTTGAGAATGGTCAAGGATAACTCAGACCATATCAACACCGATTTGAAGCACTTAACACGGGTACCATGTTTTTGTTGTTCGTGGTGACCATACTTTATATTAAATAGAAATGTTACGACCGTAAAATATGCACATTTATGCTTCAAGGGCCACCACTAATCAGGTGTCTATCTGGGGTGACTAATATTTTATAACAGTGGTTTTCCTTGTCATAACTAAAATATAAATTCCCATTACCCTTTAACTGGCTCAAGTAGTGTATACAGATACAGCTCGCATTTGAAGAAGCACGCCATTGTTTTAATGGCATAAGCAAATGGTTCTTATAAAGTGCTATAAACCCTCAGACTACTCTTCAGAAATCATTCTTGTTCACAATAGAATATTAATTTGGAATTCTTACCAAAATGTATAAAACATTCAAGACGCTATGTGATAATAATGTACTCTAAAGGTGTGAACACCTTTTCTGAGCTGGAGAAGCATGATTATAATTAATTATACTTGCTGTATATTTTTGAACACTAGCTTTATTCAGTCTCTTATGTTGTTGTTTTTTATTAACGCATATCCAATTCTAAGGACGAATTTACCTCAATATGGAACCTGATGAGTTCTGTATTGAGCGAAATGCGTCGTCGGCAGTGAATATGTCGGACACAGTGCAGCAAATACTATTATAATATTTTTTTCTTCTTTAAAAACAAGAAGGGACTAGATAATAATTGTAGTGCTAAAATATAATAAGCCTACGACTAATGTCTTATGACAAGCATAAATAATAACATTATGTTTGACATTTCTTAAAACATATTTTACAGGGCACCATTTAGTAAAAAACAAACTAGAAGAAATGTTGGATGAATATGATGTCCAAACATGTTGATTTGCGTTCGACCACAGGGTCGCAAATTCAAGGCGGCTGACCCCACTAAAAATAAATATTTGTTAAAGACCCTTTCATATGACGTTTCCTGTATTCTGATTTTTCTGCTTACAAGTGATGCAGAAAAGTGTTTACGACAACAATTAGAGGGAGAGAGAGAGCTATAAAAAAGTTCACTTCTGGTTGGTTTTGTTTAGAACGCAAAGATATAGAATAGGCCATATGCGCTCTGTCCATCTTGTGGAATCGAATTTCAGTATTATAAATTCTTAAACTTACCGCTGACTTACCGATGGGCGTGCACTTCTTCCTGTTGAGTGATTTTGGTTTGTCTTGAATTTCGCGCAAAGCTAAACGAGGGCTATCTGCGCTAACCGTCCTAATTTAGCAGTAAAAGACTACAGGGAAGACAGCTAGTTATCACCACCCACCGCCAACTCTTGGGCTACTCTTTTTACCAACGAATAGTGGGATTGACAGTCACATTATATCGCCTCTACAGCTGAAAGGGCGAGCATGTTTGGTGGAATGGGGATTTGAACCCCGACCCTCAGCTTACGAGTCAAGCGCCCTAACCATCTGATTAGAACGCTTATTTTCACAGAAAATTAATTATACAGGACAAAATCTGATAACGTGATAAGGCAGTGGAAAATAAAATACAAATATTTTAATAAAACTAAAAAAAAAGTTATAAAAACCAATGCACTCATACAACATTTTCAGAATCTTCTGGAACTTTGAATTTGCAGGGTCACTGACGAACAAAAGTACTCATCTGGCCATGTTAGTTTCATTCAGGAGTAAAGAGCAGAATACACATTGAAAAGCCTTTCTAAACAAACAGTGAAAGCTGAAAGTGGATTTAGAAGAGTTTGAACAAACTAAAAATGCAATTTGTTGACTTCTCCAACCCAAGATACTTTGTTGGGTAGATACTGCGACAAGGTGAATACTGACGCTCTCGAAACTTCATCATGTCGGTGTGGACTTCTAATTAGAGCTTTCAGTGACTGACATGTTCACCTTCAATTAGTATATAAACAAGTTATATAAGACTACATTTTGGAGAATTTGCAAATGGCAGGCGATTAATTCAGTGACTAGACACGATTAAGACAGTCTTCTATATAGTCTTCTTAGCTCTACATAAAATTATACACGAAATATGACTACTGAACAAAGCCACCAAGGATCCGTGTAATTGCACGTTTTGCTCAGTAAGTACTATAGTGTGCAGGTAACGATGTGTTGACTTAGCTAAGATAGTTGGAGCGTTTTTATAAACAACTATATCACACCTTTCAATCATCTCTTGCAACATACAAGACAAGATGATTAATCTCAATCGCTGGATATTATATTTAAGCGAAGAAAATTACGTAAGAATAACCATTTATAATAAATGGTTTCTTGTCGAGGTATTCATGCAACTTCGTCGGTTTAGTGTTATCAAGGTTTCTTCAGATACCCGTGTTCGTTTAATTCAACATTCAACTGAAAAAAAAAGAAAAAATGGATGGGGAGGGAGGCTTAGAATATTAAACCAGCCAGGATAGTTTTATTTCTCTTATAAAACATGTGACCTTGAGCATTGAAGAAAAAAAAAGTTTAAAAATGGACCGTACCTAGACAAGATTCAATGAACAGGTATAAGTTAAAGTAGATAACAACGAGTAGGTCTCTAACAAATACACACTCAATAGTTTTATTGATGGAATTTTTTAAAGAATCCATTGTTTTCAGTGCAATGGCCATTCAGTTGAGAGTTTCATACTGCAACAACACACAGTAGTTGTCCTCAGTTATTTAGTTACTTACACAACGTAAAGCAGGGTTTTATGTTGTATTTACGACAGTTATCCTTAGTTGTTTAGTTACTTACACAATGTAAACAAGAATTTTGTGTTGTATTTATGACAGTTATCCTTAGTTGTTTAGTTACTTCTATACAACAAAGAAGGACTTTATGTTGATATTGCGTTGTTAAAATTTCATAGTGTCTTTTTTTATTTCTATAGAATAAACTCAGGTTTAATGATGTATTTATGGATAGTTATTGCTGAAGCTCAAGCTTTCTAGTTATTTCCTTAAAATAAAGCAATTTAAGATTTTTTTGAAATATTATACTTGGTGAACTAATAGCAGGCTGACTCTTCTGACAGAGATTGTGTTTTCACCCCTGCGTTGTGTGCGTGTGTTTGTCAGCAAGATTTCTCGAAAACGGCTGAATGGATTTGGACGAAAGTTGGTATACATTTGGACTATGATCAAACCTAGATGCGATTAGTTTTGGAGGGTCAAAGTCACAGCAAGGTCATGAAAAAAAAATCCCTATCTGTTAACATGGGGAACGATTTTTCACACTTATTTTTGCTCTATAACTCAGTCAAAAATGGTCGGATTTTGATGAAACTTTGTGGACATATGTAGAACATAATTCTTCATTGTCTGCCAAAAATGGTCTGTCTGTTGATAACGACAGACATACGGACATATTTTCATATTTTTTGAGAGCTGAATATGACCAACGCTGGGTGGCGGAGGTGTGGTGTGCGCTCTACTGAGAGCCCCTCTAGTTTTTTTTTTAGTTTTTTATTGTTTAAGATGTCAGTACAGGGTGATGCAAAACTTGGGTACCACCAAGAGTTTTCCAAGTCCTATCCTCAAAGCTGTTCGAAACGTACACCATTGATATCACGACAGAGTGTCACAACCGGACTATATCCACCACTGATTTCACGACAAAGTGCCACAACAGGACTATGTCCAGCAGTGATATCACGATAAAGTGCCACAACAGGACTATGTCCACCACCGATATCACGACACAGTCTCACAACAGGACTATGCCCACATGTCCTAGCAAGATTGATGACATCCCTGCTAACTATTGTAACAAAACAGAAAGAAACAGTTAGTGTAACATAACCATGACTTCAAAAAACCATCGTAGGGTGGGACTTAGAAATACTGTGATGGTACACAACTTGTGTACGACCTTGTACTTTTATTACGCTTTTTTTGGGGGGGGGGACTATAACAACTTGGCAATAAGAATTAGGAGATGTTTATTAAAAAATTATATTAATTAATAAATTAGGAAAATCCGGCATAATAAATTAAAATGAATGGTGTTATAAATAAATCCCAAACCAATATCCTTTAAACAGCAATTGTATATTTACGTTTTCGACAATTTTTGAATATGAAATAAAGAAGTAAATTATAATCTCTCCCTCCCTTACACAAAACATACAAACGGTTGTGCGAGATGAGAAAAAAATATATATAGTCGTTAAAACTTAACTCAATATCTATTACATTCTTCACAATTACAAATTAGTTAATCATAACAATAAAGAATAATACGTAGTCATTCTATTTAAGTTATTCTCTTCGTGGCGTTGGCTGTCAATATGTTCGATTAGGTTACGTAACAATCAACACCAATGAACAGTTTCATTAAAATAATTACGTTAGAGAACTCTTGCATATACATACACGAATCTGTTATCTTAGCATGACTTTATCCGAAATATTCTACAATCGATATAATCGGGATCGGGATTTAGGAGGGGTCAGATGCAATAGTTGACTTCTTCCTTCCTCTTTTACCCTTGGTTTATTTGAGTTCTTCTTTCCTATTTTACCCTTGGTTTATTTGAGTTTATTTGAGTTCTTCCTTCCTATTTTACCCTTGGTTTATTTGAGTTCTTCCTTCCTCTTTTACCCTTGGTTTATTTGAGTTCTTCCTTCCTCTTTTACCCTTGGTTTATTTGACTTCTTCCTTCCTCTTTTACCCTTGGTTTATTTGACTTCTTCCTTCCTCTTTTACCCTTGGTTTATTTTACTTCTTCCTTCCTCTTTTACCCTTGGTTTATTTTCTATCGATGTTACTTTTGCAGGAAAATACTATTTTTACTACGACACGCGGCTCAAAGTTGTATCCAAAAGTCCGGGTATACACTTTGACCTTTCTCAAAACTAATGTCCATGGTTGAAATGAAGCAATGTAATTATCACTGTCACTTTGTTTGTTTGGACGAAAGTCATGCACATCGCAAAAAAAGTTCAAATGACAGTATACACTTGTTCACTGGGTTAAATTTCTGGAAGAGTGTTCACATAAAAACAACAACTTTTTCAATACTTGTAATTAATCAATATAATGATGCTTGATATGCTAACTTTAGGTGGCCTGTTAATGAGCTTATAGAAGATATTAATTGGGTAGAGATACTACAACTAAGTAAATAAATCCATCCTTGAATCTTTCGCTCAGATAGACAAGAGGTGCAAAACGTGTATAAGACGAAGTAGGTCACGTACGTATGGAGTACAATTTGCAGCCCAGCTAAATGAACAGAACAAAAACAAACCGGTAAAGCTTAGGTGCTTATGACTCACTACGCTTAAAACATACGTTTACCGCACGTTGCCTATGAATAGAGGCGAGCAGAGCAGTGATCTAAGAAAAATGACATAAAATGTACTGAACAACTTTAGGAAGTGAATGTATATGAATAGGAGTATGAAATACAACAACAACACACCAAAAAACACGTAGTATCTTTTATACCAAGGTACTTTGATATTTTATAAACTTAATGATGATCAAAAACTAACAATCTTACTAATACAATTTATAGTTGATTAATATCATCGTAATATGATCTATACATTATGTACACTGAATTATTTAATTTTTTTATTTTAAAATTCCTTTATCCGAATTATCTATACATTATCTACACCGCATGATTTCAATTTTTTTTATTTTAAAATTGCTTTATCTGAATTATCTATACGTTATGTACACTGCATTATTTAATTTTTTATTTTAAAATTGCTTTATCCGAATTATCTATACATTATCTACACTGCATGATTTCAATTCTTTTTATTTTAAAATTGCTTTATCTGAATTATCTATACATTATCTACACTGCATGATTTCAATTCTTTTTATTTTAAAATTGCTTTATCCGAATTATCTATACATTATGTACACTGCATTATTTCAATTTTTTATTTTAAAATTACTTTATTTGAATTACTTATAATAAGAATATACTACTTCCACAATGTTTCAGTTACCAAGACTGGAGTTTATTCATGTGTGTTTACATTTAACATACGCTGCACTATTGAGGTTTCTCACAGACAAAACTTAAACATATCTTCGTAGAATTGTTTATAGCCTTCGAGCAACACTTCAAAAACACTTTTCTGCAAAACATTACTGCACATAGGTGGAAACAATCTGGGGTGACACTCGTGTACATTTATATATGTGTGGGTGATGGATAACATAACAGCGACCTAGATCAAGAGTACTAAGATATTATCAAGAAAAATGTTGGCAAGTCCTACCTTCTTAAAAGACCCAATTCGACAAGATCCATAACGAGGAACGACGAAGACATGGTCGACGATACTCCAGTCTTAACATCAATTTAATCGGTTTTTCTGCCACTTTTCTTACTAGTAACATTTTAACTGGAAGTGTATTTTTCTAAATGTATCGAGTATCATATTTTTATTAAAATTTAAGAAAGAATCTGATTGTTTAGAACCTAATTTAACACACCGACACTTTCATCGTCCTTTTAAGGGTAACTCTAGAAAGACTGTTTAAAATGCGTAAATAGTTTGCAATTTGTAATTCAGTCTATAGGGTCAGAAATCAAGTAACATCTTATCTTTTAGGTATAAATAAAACGCAAAATAAGATTTAAGTCCTTCACGCCATATTACTACTGCATGCACGTTTTGCAGCATTGAACACTATACTGCTGCACGAGGCACAGCCATCCACTATCGATCACAAAGGTAATTTTGGTTCATCAGAATTTCTACGTAATATTCAGATTTCCAATTGAACTGAGTATTTCTTCCAAGAAATAAACTGTCCGACGAAGCATCTCTAGAAATGAAGAACGAATGCTAAGTTACTGCAGAAAAATGTTTATGTCGATCATTCATCGTCTAAGAGCAAGATCAAAAGAAGCCAAGTTCTAAGCCTTGCTTGTGTGACACAACTCACCCCTCTCTCTGCAGAGGTGAGCATACAGGCTTTATGAGGCCAAGTTCTGAGCGAGCAACGTCGACTACTGGCAACGGGGGCCAAAGGTAGACATTTGTGTGAGAGTTAAATACGATAGTCACACTCATTACTTCAAGTTTTTTAAAATAGGTCGGACATGCAATCCATGCATATAAAGTTGGTCATATAAATAGTTTTCCATTATATGAAGACAAATAACTCTACTGGTCGTTACAAGTAACAGAAGAATAAAAAAAGAAGCCTATACAGAATAGCAGATCCGGCAAACAACAAAACTATCGACAACATGTACAAAAGTATTATATCGATATAAACCGATAGAGATGTCTTAATATATAACCAGAATGATGTAAGTAATAGACAGTGACCAGCAGGTTATTTAAATACAGAGACGCAGATACGGTAAAGATAAACAGATAGTTCAGGTAGTACGTTAAACACACTAAACCTAAATCAGACATCATGGTTCTAGGTTTCAGACAAATCCACAATCTGATAGATGAAGACATGTATTACATAGTTATACACAAACCACACTTAACAGTTATCTCCACACACTGATGCAGACACCTGCAGTTATACACAAACCACACTTAACAGTTATCTCAACACATTGATGCAGACACCTGTAGTTATACAAAACCATATTTTTTACTATCAGCTTAGTACTATGTAAGCAAATAGATATATGGCTAGCTTATACGTGGTTCTTTTTTTTTCCACAGCTTACTACGTATGGCTATGTCTATGAATACTTTATCTTATTTTTACATATTTTACTCTGTCTATGTATGGTGTTTTTCTTTTTTTTTTTTCTTAGCTTAACATGTTTCGCTATGGCAATAAATGGTCCTTTGTTTTGCTATGTCTATGTATGGATCTTTATTCGCGCTTTAACATGCGCAAGTCTTCGTCCAACTACAGTTCTATAATTTTACATGTAATGAATATATAACCTTCAAACATTATTAAGAAAAATATTTAAAAATTAATATAAAACAACAAATCTCGTATTAATAATTACATCATCCTGAGATAAAGGGCTGTTTCATTATCTTTTTTCGGAGTATTTTGGTTGATATCAAATACTGGAATCTGGGTTTGATAATGTACAAATTAAAATCGGGTTATGTTGAAAAAATATTTATAGCTACAGGTAATTTTTTCTTCTCTAACGTATAAAACGAGCCGGTTATTTCGGAATCATTCAACGCATTCATTTCTTTTCACAACGAAGGTAACAAAAGCATAAAAGAATCACATCCAATAAAAAAAGACCGTAGTTGAAATGTTTAATTTTCATTCATAACCTGTAGATCTCCAGGTGTGAAATTCATAAATCGATTAACTTGTAACATATATAAAATAAACTAAAACACTGGAAACAGTATCACAGTGAATCTTACACAATGTACGCATAATGAACTGTAATTCTTAAGCTAAATTTCAACCAAATTCCTACGCATGCTCATTACATATAAACAGAAACCATCTTAATCGTAGTGGTAGAGTTGTACATGTAAACAACAAACACAACTTACAGAGTACATCTCACGCTGCAGCTGTGCCACACTTCGTTTTTCGTGACGAACATTTTCTCTTTCTTGCTCCAGAAGACACTGAATCTTCAAACAAATCAGTGTTTAATTTTAGTAAATAACCAACTGTTTAATTATGTTGTCCCGGTGTTTGTTACAACCTTCAGTCAATAATTAATTTTAAACAACAACAACAACAAAAAAAAAAAACAGCTTGGAATTTAGAAGTGTAGTCTTAATGAACATGAAAATTAGTCGGAATTCAGTTAGTTGAATTGAAATATGGAATTTTATTAATGAAGCTGACGTAGTTTTATGTGTGTTTTTGTTCCAGAATGCTATGGAAAGAAAGATAGCGGTTAAATTTCGAGTTGAGAGAAAATATAGCTATTCCTGTCACTCTGAATAAGTTATTTGTGATATGTTTTTCTGTATATTTGTGAAATCTTTTTTTTTTTTCTGTGCTTATTTGGACCGGGCGTGACCAAGTGGTTAGTGTGCCGGAATATAGATCAGAGGGTCCGTAGATATCGTAGGGCTAATGTAACCAAATATTTGAAGGTGAATGCTGTTGACTAACTTCCTTACAGCTCGCCTGTGAGTTAAAATCTGGAGAAGGCTAAGGCTCATAGCCCTTGTGTTTAGCTTTTCGCGAATTTTCGAATTTTTTTTTGGGGGGGGGGCGAAAGAAAAAGGTAGAAAGAACACATTCTATGGGTAGTAACTGTACAAAAATTATTGGATGGCGTTTTTTTTTTTGTTTTGTTTCTCAAATGTCAACCATTGATGAATTTTGTTAATACAGCGCATGTGCACTTCATAGAGACGCGCAGATTCGCCAGAAACTATCGTCTAACCCCCTTTTTTTTTAACCAAACGAAATTCTAAACATGAGCCAATTAAGTTCATACGTACAGAAAAAAAATGGACGGCCTTTAACGAAACGTCTGAGATTAGCAGTGTGAAGAAGAGAATACCCATACATTGTAAGCCTTCCGTACGACAGTTTGACATTAGTGATGTCCAGAATAGTAGATCTCAATGATAACACCACTATCTACATAGCTGTCAATGTAATTACTTCGATACATTTTTTTTTTAATGAAGCGGTTCAAATTCGTTGAACAACTTAATTCTTTATCATCCAGGTCATGACTTAGTGAGTTGTATGAGAATTTGACTTCGCTATTCGCCTATTTCATTCGTTTAAGGGGGAAAACCCCAACTGGGGAAGGTCCAAATGAACCCTTTCACTCAACTGGTTAGATTTTGGAATAATTTTATTTGTTTAATATTAGGCCATTTTATTTGGAAAAATTCCTCATTAGAGAAAGGTTTTATAACCTATTCTTGACAAGAAAAAGTCACACAAAAACTTGCCTACTCTACAGAAAATAGTGAGAGACTGTAAACAATTACCCAAAACGAAGATAAAATTTTAAAAAATCAAATAAGAATTATCAGATAAAGGCCTTCGATGCAATAACACTAAGTTCTTTACACCACTCATTCTTGTCTTGTTCCCTGATTAGACAATATCCAACTTTCAACCACAATTCCAGAGTACCAGTTTCTATTCTAACCGAAATCAGTCCTGTTGAGAATTTTTCCCACTTGCAATGTTAAGACAACAAAATGTCTCCCCTCACTTTTAAACGTTTATTACTGTTAAACCACAAATGCAGAACTCTCCCAAATATTGACAATGTTAATTATCTTACACATATTAACTGACACTCGATTCCCCTCGGTGGACACAGCAGATAGCCCGATATTGCTTTGCTACAAAAAAAAAAAAAAAAACAGGCACTGTTATGTGTCTTGAATAGTAATTTCTCTCGAATACGATTTAATGCTCTTGGATTTCTTGGTAATTTATTTCGTTTGTGATAGGGGTGAGGCTTATAGTGATGAAACTTATTGGTTAAATTTCTTTAACCGTTTTAGTAAAAAGAAACAAAACATTAGTATCTTGCAAATAACTTCTAAAATGGTTATATAAAGATATATATATATATATAACCTCATTTTTCACATACGTTTCCTAATACGTAATCTTATAGGTGTTCGATGACGAAATTCGAAAAATGCAAATAGTATAACACTGGATCGGCAGATGGCGCCAAAGCTTTTATTATTATTATTATTTCGTCCAGACATTCACAGAACGGAATAGCGGTTTAGTCGAATAGGATCCGGAGAGATAGATATGTAAACACGCAAATGATGCGCTACAACTGGTGATAGACTTAACTGAAAACTCGTGTAACGCAGCTGGAATTTATATTCTTATTTCTTAAAAAAAATAAAAAATATTTCAGGTTAATTATAAGCAATTCAAATTTTAAGTTCTTATTTGCCAATCGCGTTTGGGTGAAGTAATCATTCAAGAAGTTAAGAAATAGGCACTGTTTGATTCAAGGGTGGACGCCGTCCATCTACTGTTTTTGGGGAAACGTAAATTTTCACGGTATTGCTGTCCCCCGGATTTAGAACGTTAACATCAGGAGTTGGTCCTTTAAAAATTTCCTAAAGTTTACACCACGTGGATATTAAAGTTAACGTTTGATTAACGGAAGTAAACTAATTTTTAAAAGTGCAACAGCAAAGTTAAAAAAAACTAGAAAAAAAAGCCTAATCTATAATTCGATTCACCACTTGTCACGGAGTTATACCAATTTTGGGGAGATCCGCTTCTCATCAGCAACCCTGAACAAGGTCAACTTGAAAAAAGCAGGAATTACTGGCTTCTTATAGCGATGGAATTTATATATATGGTAGTTTTTGCTACGTTTCACTCACCACAGTGAACCTATAATTATACACGATTTGAAAAATATAATTTCACTATAGTAACAAAATACTAAAAAAAAACATATAAAGTATAAAGAAATTTACCATACTGATCAACTTGTATATTTCTGCAGAATAAACTATTTAGCACAAGTTTATGATATTTATCTTTTGTTTTGGTGCAACTCAGACCATTTTTTACTCGACAATGTCGTATTTTTATCTAGGTGATGGAAAATTTCAAAAAAATTTTTGAAAAATGATTTACCTGATTTAATACCGATTTATTTTTGTATCTAAAAAACGTTTTATTTCATTATTCTAAACTATAAAAGAAGAAAAGATTATTTTCTTTGCTTGTGTGAAACCGAACTCAAGACTAATCCGTCTGACATATTTACGAACAATATTTAATGTGAATAACTTTTATCATCTGGCACCATGAATTAATCTCGGCACTAAGAAGATATGTAAACACTGTAGTGGAGCTACAGACACGCTAAGAAAAAAAATTGTAGTTATAGTTTACTGTCCACTGAGGAGTTGGATTAAAAATAAATAACTAAATAACTTTACATGCAAACAAACGTCCAAAAATAATTCTTTTTGAGCCATATAAAAACGCTGCAGATCAGCCACAAAGACAGACATAAATTTTCGTAAAGCTGTCTTTATGGTTATTCATTATTCATATTTACTTCGAAATGTATCCTTTTTCTGTGTTCTTTTACGGATAATTATTGCAACAAACTTGCTCAGCCCCACGCTTTGAGCTTTTAATTTCTACAACAGACAACAGCCAAACACTGGTCAACGTTACATCTCTTCTGTTTGGAAGTTCGCGCAAAGTTACACGAGGGCTATCTGTGCTAGTCGTCCCTAATTTAGCAGTAAAAGCCAATTCTTGGACTACTCTTTTACCAGCGAATAGTGGGATTGACTGTTACATTGTAACGCTCCTACGGCTGAAAGGGCGAACATGTTTGGTGGGACGGGGATTCGAACTCGCGCCCTAACCACCTGGCCATCAGCTTTCTTCAATTATCACAAGCACTGATGCAACACTTATAAATATACGTTTACAACTTTCTCACCTACAAAATGGATGCCCTTTTATTTGCGTATTTTAAGAATCCTGTATAACTGTTTATGAAGTTTTGAGAAGATTGGAGCTGTTAGTTGCAACTACCTTGTTTAAGATTTACGGAAGCTACTGCCTCTGTAACATTTAAACGAAAGACAAAAAATAAATAAATAAACGGAGCGTATATAATGATAAACCAATGTTTGCTTGTTTGTTGAACCCACGCAAAGCTTCTCGAGGGCAATCTGTGCTAATTTTAAAATAATAGACTAGAGGGAATGCAGCTACTCAATACCTTCCAATGCCAACTCTTGGGCTAATCTTTACCAACAAAAAGTGGGATTGACCGTCATATTATATCGTCTTCGTGGCTGAACACGTTCGGAGATGGGATTCGAATCAGAGACCCACAGGTCTCTAGTGAGCGCCCTAACCACCACAACATGTATGGGGTGGTCTTCTCAGTGCAGAGATTGAGTCCATCATGTTTCAAGTAAGGTGTACTCTCTATAGGTTCAGCATGAGAGTCAAAGTCACCCATCTATCCTAGCGTGATCTTGCCAATGATCTGCAGAAACAAGAGAAGTGGGGTGTTGGGTAATTACGGTGTGGTTTCCAGGAGTCAAACGGCACAAGGAACACAGGCTCACCTTCTATATCTAAAGGTGTTCAGGTTGCTGTCAATAATCATTAATCAATGACTGAAGGTGAAATTCGACTCTTACGAATTCTTTATGGATTAGGTTTTCTGATATTTCTCGTGATTTTTAAACGTGGGGTAAACGTGAAAACAATATACGTTTTCATCTATCGTTATTTTATGATACGTAAAAGATCATAAAAGAAACACTGTCACCAACTTTTTCATAAATGGTGCGAGAAAATGTGTTAAAGATAAATTTACGTAATCTCATGAATTACACAAAAACATTTATTTTCAATGGCTTCAAAATCCTTATTTTAATATAAATAAAAAGAACGCCCGGCATTTTATCCCACATACTTTTGTTTGTCGTATCACAGCCTAATGAGCCCTGGTACTAGGCGAAAGGCCTCATCGGTACTGGATATTGCAGATATAGTGTAGTTGACATATTATTGCATTCTTCTTTACTTTCACTTAAGTTCTTATAATTTCACAAACAACTAATTCAATGCCTGCAAACAATACTCTAAAACCCAGCGTCTCTACAACTATGTCACTACTACC